CAAAAAGGCCTGCCGTCACCGCGCCACTCTGAAGCTGCTGCGTAATTTCTTCAATCGGTTTACTGGTGGATAGCCTTTTAAACAGTCTAGCTCTGCCTATGCAAGACCCCTTCCGGCCGACTTTCTAGTTATCGTCCTGATGGTTTACCATCCGTCGAGAACCACGTTGAGCTCGAACCATGCACCATGTTCCCATGGAAAGTGCTTCTGAAGTCTTAGGCGTGGAAGGGTACTGTAGAGTTTTTTTCTGGAAGATTGGAATGTGCTCTTCAATATTCAGTTGAAACATTTGATTTGATCTTAGCAGAGTGTAATTATTTCCGTTTTAGAGCGGGGGAGAGTGACTCTTTTTTTGAGCCCCCGCCCCACCCCGCACTGTATATAAACTGTTATCCATGGCTACCTCGCAGGCTGGACCTGACCATGCGGTTGTGGCCCTCAAAAAATCTATATCGCGTGTGCATTACGACGCCGGCGATGCCATCTAAGCCACGTGGGTTGCGAAAGGAAGAAAAGAAATGAGTAGGCAATATTAGCCAAAGGAAAGTTCAATCCACCTTTACGACATGTCCGGCCACAGAAATAAAGTTTATACGGCGCTTCCGGAAACCAGATGCGCGTCGAGTGCAGACCACACACCACAAGTGACGACGGCCTCCAAGTAAATCTGGTTAGTAGTGGTTCATAGTGATAGCTGATTTTGGTAAATGATAGTTGTAATTAGTGACAACTGATAGAATACAACTGCAACAGGCTAATCATTTCATTGGCAGAAAACATTTACATTTTGTGGAGGCCGTCGTCACTTGTGGTGTGTGGTCTGCACTCGACACATTCTGGTTTTCGGAAGCAGAGAGTACATATCCCAGTCCCTGTCCACAAAATCTCTGGACTTGAAAGAATGGAGAATGTAGCGGAATGGGGTCGAACTAGAAGATTTTCGGCAACGCCCTACTTCCGTTGACACATGCGCCATATCACCCTGCTATCCAGTTTATCGCACTACTACGTCCTCCATTCATTGGGCCCTGCTAAAATTGAGCCGAAATCTGAACACATTTATTACCCAGGTTTACAAAAATGGAGCAACTTTTGAAAAAGAAAAGATAATCAAAGGGGGGTACTGTTTACAAGCCTTCCTAGAAAAAGGAATCCCTACAAGTCGAAATATATTTATACATTTATTCATCCTACTGTACCACCGCCTCCCATTTTATGTAATGTTACTGCCCCATTTTTTACAGATTTTTTACAATAGTAACACAGAAAAACCGCCCCAAATTTTGGCATTGCTGTTTTTCAACCTCCTCGATTTCCTAGTGGCCTTGGCGAGACGGCTACGCTGCTGGCCACGGCGCAAATATGTCACATTTCTCGTTTTAATATTCTCTTTATACTAGAATATAATCTTTTCCAGGGTTTTTCCGTGGTTACCAAGAAAATCTGAACACTTGCTTCTGTAAAATGATGACCAACTAGGGGTACCCGACAGGAGGCCCGTCGCGCGGCAAGAAGGCAGAGTCAGCGGACGAGTCGCAGCGCGTGATGTGCGATGTAGGACGTACAATGGTACATTCTATTTGACGCGAAATCACTACACGCGCTGCGACTCGTCCGCTGACTTTGCT